AACCCCCCCCTCTACCAGCAGAAGCCTGTGCTCAAAATGAGTTTCTGTAAGCCAGCACTCCTCTAACCCCTAGGGTATTTAGTTGTATTAATTTGTTTTCTACTAGCAGTATCTGAGGCTGCATACATTGTAAAGAGGCTGATTTTGAAGGGCAGAAGGTCAGAGGGCCTCGTCTGGTGGTAGCCTTGCTGGCAGAGTCCTGAGGTAGTGTAGGCTTCACAAGGTGGGAAGTACATGGTCTTCTGGTCTCCTAATAAAGTCACCAGTTGTCATGCACTCATTGGGGTCACCCTAACGAGTTTACTGAATCCTAATCACCTTCCAAAAGCCCCACCTCACCTTGTGCAGATTCCATTTCCACTCTCTGAATGCCTCACAATGGGAAGCCCACTCTAAAAGGCGTTTTGGAAGGGACAAGCCATGCTTAAGCCATAGTACTGCATGGTCGGACCTCCTTACGGGCGTTCTGGGAAGCAAGCTGGGAGATTGCCCACTGCCCTAGTGAATTGCCTGTGTCTTGGAACAGAGCGCAGTGGTTCCACTTGCTAATGATAAGCTGTCAGAGTCACTTAGGGGCTTTTAGAACAGATTTCTCAGCTTCTCCTTCAGGTCAGTGCAGCTGGAGTTTCGTGCCCAGAAATATTGCCTCTAACAAGTTCCCCCAAGAGTAGTTACTGCCGGTTTGTGAACCAGAGCGTTCATCTGTCCCCTGGCTTTACCAGTTTAAGAACATTTTTTGGCTACTTGCTAGTCTGGCAGCCCCATCAGATTGGTCTAACCTGAATACTTTTTGCTTTAGCATCTTATTTCCCCTGTATCCTTTTGTGTTTCTGGTGTTCATCAACTGCAGTGTGTAAGACTTAAGCAGCTCAAAGAAACTTTGCAGCCTTACTCACAGGTCACATTCGTGTAACTCTTGAGTCCCGCTTTCTACCTTTCTGTCAGTCAAGAACTATGGATTCTCTCCTTCCTCTGAGGTATAGATCAGAGACTGACTTTGGGACTTGGGCCAGGCCTGCCCAGCATTGCATGTGGCAGTCAAACCAGGCCTTCAGCTCAGTGCTCATGATACCACCGACATGCCTGTCTCCTTTTGTGTCTTTCAGAGCCCTCTTTATTCGGCCCTTCATGCTGCTCCTGGATGAACCCACCAACCACCTGGACCTAGACGCTTGTGTGTGGTTGGAAGAGGAACTAAAGACGTAAGGGGTGGGGTAGGGCTGGGAGCCGGCAGATCTGAAGGGGGCAACATCAGAGCCCCAAGAAAATACGTTGTCGAGAAACTGCCCTGGTAGAGCAGTGAGAAAGGAGACCAAAGCAAGGCCGGGGGCGAGGCCAGTGTACCAGGTGCTGAGTGCAGTAGGCTGGCCTTTTGTTTCTTTGGGGTTTTGTTATATTAGTTTTTAGTCTGACATATGTCAGCCTTTAAAACCAAACCCCAAAACTTTTGGTTTTCCCATATCTGAAATAATACCATCTTTACTAAAGATGTTTAATTGTATGGGAAGTAAGTCCCCATTTAAAGTGATGATACAGTGATTTTAAAAAATTGCTAATGTGGTCATAGTTCTTGTATAGCTAAAGAACCAGATAACTTGGAATACTGTTCCTTATTTATTTATTTGTCTTTTTGAGATAGGATCTCCCTGTAGCCCTAACTAGCCTAGAAGTCACTATGTAGACCAGGCTGGCCTCCAACTCACAGATATCCGCCTGCCTCTCCCTCCCAAGTGCTGGGATTAAAGGCATGCACCACCACGCCCGACATTTTTCCTGTCCCATCCTTAAAAGAAAATAACAGTAGTGTGTGACTTAGTGCTGTCTGCATCAAGAAAAAGCTCATGTTTCCTTTATTGCGTCAGTTTGAGGTCGCCCCACCGCCAGTTCTGGATACCTTGGGAAGTATTTGTCTCCTGTCTCTACTCTGTTCTGTTGACAGCTGAAGACTTGAGGGGCTCTTAGCGCATGAAAGGCTCCAGGAGCCCCTCAGAGAGAATGCAGTGCTGACCTAGGTCCTTGCTAGGCAGCAAGAGTTGAAAGGGCACTTGGGTGTAAGGGTGGAAAAGGGTGAAGGCATTCTGGGTCTGGCTCAGTGAGCCAGCTGTCTCTAGCTTTGAGTACCTTTCTGATTGGTTCTTTGGCTTCACAGTTTCAAGCGCATCCTGGTCCTTGTGTCCCATTCCCAGGATTTCCTGAATGGGGTCTGCACCAATATCATCCACATGCACAACAAGAAACTGAAATACTACACGGTGAGTGGACCTGACTTCTCCTACACTAATTCGTTCCCTTAATTCTCTGAAGTTGTTCTTTAAAAACAAAGCAGCTTTTTTTCTCTTGTTGTAAAAAGATGTAGACAGGTCCTGCAGCCCGTTCTATTTTAGTCCCCAAACCATCGTTCATAGGCTATAGGCCATGGTTGGCAGCTGCAGCATGTGGTATGTGTGCTTGATGGCAAAAACGGTGACTTCTCCTGGGGCCTGGGCAAGGCCCCGAGTCTTCCTACCTGCTCACATGATGCCTTCTCTCTGTTAGGAGAGTTTGGTGCCCAGAAATTTGAGCAGCACAGGGAAGGGAGGTCAGAGTCTCAGCAGCCTCCCTGTTGGGTTTTGCCTCTTCTTAAAATTTATTTAGGTTTCTTTTTGTTCCTGGGTGTTTTGTTTTTGTTTTTGGTCTTTTTGAGACAGGGTCTCACTGCAGCCAGCCCTAGCTGGAACTCACTATGTACACCAAGCTGGCCTTGAACTCACAGAGATCTGCCTGCTGGGATTAAAGTAATGCACCACTACCACACCTGGCATTGTGGAGGTCTCACTGTGTAGCCTTTGCTGGCCTGGAACTTCCTATATAGACTATGCTGGCCTTCAGCTTACAGAGATCTGCCTCCACCTCCAGGGTTGGTTTTTTGTTGTTGTTTTGGTTTTGGGGTTTTTTTTGTTGGTTGTTTTTTTGTTTTTGTTTTTGCTTTTTTTGAGACATATCTCCCTATAGCCCCAACTGGCCTGAAACTCCCTGTGTAGACCAGGCTGGCCTCCATCTCACAGAGTCCACTTGCCTCTGAGTCCTGAGATTAAAGACGTGAGCCACCACACCTGGCTCTTTTGTTTTTTTGAGATTTGTTCTCACACTGCAGCCCAGCTGTCGTGGTAGACACTACACTAGGTCAGGCTGGCCTTGAACTCGAGGCAGTCCCCCCATCTCAGCTTCCCAAATGCTGAGATTACAGGTTGGAGGCACCATGCCTCAGCTGCCTTTTAATTTTTAGTATTTAAAAAAAAATTCTTATAATGAAAAATAGGGCCAGTAAGATGACTCAGAGTCATCTGCCACCAAGCCTGACTATCTGGGTTTGATCCCTGGGACCCACGTGGTAGAAGAAGAGAACTGTTCCCACGAGTGTCTGCTGACCTCCACGTGCACTGTGGCATGTGTGCACGCAGACACACAAAATAAAGATGTGCTTTAAAACGTTTTTTAATGAAAAATAGAGCTGGGTGTGATGGCATGTACACAGAATTCCACCATTGGTTGGCACAGCATGGGGGTCTTGCATTTGCAGCCAGCCTGGGCTACGTAGTGAGACTGTCTCAGATAGGGCAAAAGAATAGAAAGCTTTTCATTCATAGTCACAGGCACTGTGGGAGTATTAGTAGTTTCTTACTAAGCCTTCCAGAATTCTGCATATTGGCAATCATTTGTAAAAAGTCTTATACACACATACACCCTTTTCTCTTTCATCGTAATTAACCTTTATGTAATCTTCTGTGATCTTAACAGCTGTTTTATTTTTGTAGATTCTGCTTTCCAGATGAGTATACAGTCTACTTTTTAGTGATGGCATAGTGTTTCATTGTGTGGCTATCCTGTGACTTACTTGTTAGACCTTCTTATTGGATGGTTGGCTGAAGTCTAGGTTTTTTCCAGATAGAAACCATAGCAATCCATTTCAGGCTTGGTCTTAAATCCATTGGTTTGTTTTCCCTTGTGGGGCACAGCCCCTGCTGTTCGAGTGCAGCCTCAGCTTCCAGGGTGGGTAGTAACAGGAGGTGGTAAAGAGCTCTGAGCTCAATGCTGACAGTGTGATAGTGGTGTTCTGCTGCCAGCTGGGTGTCTTTCTGGGTAATCTAAGGATTTGCCCTGGAGTCTGGTTTGGCAAGACTGAGCAAGAGGCTTGAAATGGAAGATTTACATCTTGAGTTGGGCTGTAGCTTAGTTCAGCACTTGCCTAGCACGTACCCTGTGTTCTATCCTCAGCACCACAAAAACAAATAAAAAGCACTTCCTGTTCTTCTTATTGCTCAGACTTAGAGCAGGCAAGTCAGTGGCCCCTTCACCCCTAAACACAGAACACAGGACTGAGATCGGGTTAAAGCTGCCTGCTTCACCGGGTATGGTGGCACATGCCTTTAATCCCAGCACTGGGGAGGCAGAGGCAGGCAGATCTCTGTGAGTTCCAGGCCAGCCTGGTCTACATAGTGAGTTCCAGGCCAGCTGGGGTTACAGGGAGACCTTGCCTCAAAGACCAAAAAAAAAAAGCTGTGCTGCCCACCTCACCTGGCGTGTGTCCCCGCAGGGTAATTATGATCAGTATGTGAAGACTCGGCTGGAGCTGGAGGAGAACCAGATGAAGAGGTTTCACTGGGAACAGGATCAGATTGCACACATGAAGGTGAGGAGGCTGTGAAGCTGAGCTGCGTTCTCCCACCCGAACTGGACCAAGTTTGAGGAGGCTGGGAAGAAGTCACCGGAGGGCTGATTGGTGTTTTCACGCACACACACACACACACACACACACACACACCACCCCCCACCCCCACCCCCGATTCTCTGGACTCTTTCAGAACTACATTGCCAGGTTTGGCCATGGCAGTGCCAAGCTGGCCCGGCAAGCTCAGAGCAAAGAGAAAACACTACAGAAAATGATGGCATCAGGACTGACAGAAAGGGTTGTGAGCGACAAGGTGAGGTCTGATGGGTGGGGCTGGGTGGCTGAAGGTGTGGGCTGAAGAAAACACCAGCCTGAGATGCTGCCCCTCTTCATAGACGCTGTCGTTTTATTTCCCACCATGTGGCAAGATCCCACCACCAGTTATTATGGTGCAAAATGTGAGCTTTAAGTATACAAAAGATGGGGTAAGTACAGGCCAGAGCACATGCAAGAGTCCGTGGACAGCTGGGAGGCTGGGCGCACTTTCCATGGCAGTGTCAGCCAGTGGGACCCTGTCCTGTTCTTGCTGACTTGTGCTGGGGAGGGGAGACAATCTTCAGGCTTGGCAGATGGAGGCAGTGGGTCGGGATCACTCTGACAGTGATTCCCTCCTCCATTCTCCACACCTGCTTCTGGTGACTAGAATGCCATGAGGCTGGTCTGCCAGGGAGAGTAGAGCCAACCTCTAGCCTGTGTCCCTGTCCCTTTTATGTCCGCCTCAGCCTTGCATCTACAACAATCTGGAATTTGGTATTGACCTGGACACAAGAGTAGCTCTGGTGGGACCCAACGGTGCAGGAAAGTCCACTCTTTTGAAGCTGCTGACTGGAGAGGTATGGCTAAAGTGCGACACGGTGGCTTCTGGTGGGCACCTTTCTTTTAAGGAGGAAGGGTAGGGCCCAGGTGCCTTGGTAGTTGAGTGAGCCACCTTGGAGGGGCTGGGTAGTGGTGGAAGGGAAGATGTCTGAAGGGATCGGGGAAAGGGTATCTGAGGGACTGGAAGAGCACTTGAATGCATATGTCACAGTGTTTGGAGTTTTCAGTCAGCATTTAGGGTCTGGGAACATCGGCACTTCTGGACTTTTGTTTTGTTTGGTGTTTTGTTTTAAGGCAATGTCTTTGTAGCCTTGGCTGGTCTAGAACTGACTATGTGGACCAGACTGGTGTTGAATTCATAGACCACCTGCCTCAGCCTCTCGAGTGCTGGGACTAGAAGAATCTGCCACCATGTCTGGCTTGAAGTTTCTAATGAGAAAGTGTACACTGTGCCTATATCCAGGTCCCTTGTTAGTACAGTGCATTTTACAGTAGCTATTTCGTGACTCCCTGATAAACTGTTGTGTATTTTCTCCCTTGAGAGAGTCTGTCTTCCTAAATACTTTTTTAGGTTGGTTGGTCAGTTGGTTTTTTGGTTTTTTTTTTGTTTTTTTTTTTTGAGACAAGTCCTCTCTAGTTGCAGCTGGCTTGGAATTCACTATGTAGACAGGCTGCCCTCCATCTCACAGAGATCCCCTGCTCCTGCCCCACAGCTGCTGGCATTAAAGGTGTGCTCCATCACACCTGGCTGCTAAATATTTTAATGTGTTTTTTGTGTGCACAATGTGGTTACAGGGCCACTTGTAGGAATTAGTTCTCACCTTCCACTGTGTGAGCAACAAATGCTTTTGCCCATTAAGCCATCCCTAGCCCGTCCTAAATACTTGGAGTGCCCCAGTGACAATCTGGATTTACAAAGTAGATTGTGTAGCAGGGTGTGTGAGGCTTGTTCAGTGTGATGTGATTGTTTCCTCTCTGCCTGTGTTTGCTTCTGTCTGGATTTCCTTTTTTGTGTCTACTTATTTTTCTGAGTCTACTTAATACTCTTCTTCTAGCTGCTGCCCACAGATGGAATGATCCGGAAGCACTCCCATGTCAAGATAGGGCGTTACCATCAGGTATAGACGTGGGTCAAGGTTGGGGGTCAGGGTGGAAGAGGGTCTTCATCTGTCCAAGCCCTTCCTCCTCCTCCTGGGAAAGCAAGCTTCATTAGCTCCTAGCTGCTTCTTGGGTGTTGAGCATGAGCCCGGGTAGAGGTGGGGACTGCCTAGCAGGCTCATAACACACTGAGTGGGCTCCTTCTGGGGCAGGCTCCTGTTAGAGCAGCCCCCCATCACACCGTCTGGGCACTTTTTGGAGGAGGCTCTCCTTGAACATGGCCACTTTCTCTGCAGCACTTACAGGAGCAGCTGGACTTGGACCTGTCGCCTTTGGAGTACATGATGAAGTGCTACCCAGAGATCAAGGAGAAGGAAGAGATGAGGAAGATCATTGGGAGATACGGCCTCACTGGGAAGCAGCAGGTGAGCAGAGTGGTGGGAAGGACCCCAGGTCCTTCAGAGACTGGCCAGGTGGTTAGGGACCCAGGTTTGAAAGCGATCCAGAGTCTCTCTCTTACTTTCCTCCAGCATGTTGCAGCACTGTGGGGTTGGGGAAAAAGACAGAGCTGGACTCTGATGTGCCCTGCTGCCAGAGTCCTTGAGAGCAAAGGAACTTGCAGTCTAGAGATTGCTGTATCGAACTGCAGAACCACTGGGTCACCTCGTTTCACCAGGACCTAGTGCCAAGAGCAAGGAGGCAAGGTGGCCAAGCTTCCAGGTGGCCCTTGTTAGGCCTCAGGACTAGTGTATGTGGTCATGGGTTTTCCTGAGCTCACTTCTTGGTACAAAATGGCAATCATGGTAACAAAGGAGTCAGAGAGGAGAGGTCTTGAGCCACATGGTGAGTGTAACACCAAATCTTGTGTGTGTCATGGTTCTTCCAGGTGAGTCCGATCCGGAATCTGTCAGATGGGCAGAAGTGCCGCGTGTGTCTGGCCTGGCTGGCCTGGCAGAACCCCCACATGCTCTTTCTGGACGAGCCTACCAACCACCTGGACATCGAGACCATTGATGCTCTGGCAGATGCCATCAATGAGTTCGAGGGCGGTATGATGCTAGTCAGCCATGACTTCAGACTCATTCAGCAGGTGAGGCCCTAGCCAAGGCACAGCATGTACTGTAGGTAGAGGGTTACATGGAACATAGGTGTGACACGTAGAGGGCACTTGTTGTTTCTGAATGCAGAGAAGGGATTCAGGCCCTCACAGAGGGGTAAGGACCAGATCTCAGCTCTATGGGGATGGTAGATGACTGGGTAGATGGCCCAAATGGAAGAAATCAGGCTTTTATCACTGTCTCAGATTCTTAAACCATGTGTTAGTAAGGATTTGGATTCAGAAGCAGAGGCAAAGCTGCTGGCCACTCTGAGCCCTTGAAAGCAGCATGGGTAGAAAACAGATCACGAAGCCTCTGAGCAAGAGCCTGCTGGGACAGGAGTGGCAGCTCAGCAGTCCAGAGTGCATCCTGCTCTTCAGAGAACCGTAGCTCAGTTCCCAAAAACCACGAATGGCTCACAACTCCCTTAACTCCAGCTCCCAAGAGTTTTGATACCTCTGGTTTCTGTGACACCTGCAGTCACATGCACGTATCTACCCACAGACACACAAATGCACATAATTAACAATAAAAATCTTTAGGCCTGGCACGGTGGCACACACCAGTACTCATGAGGCAGATCATTGTCAGTTCAAGGCCAGCCTGGTCGACATAATCACAGCCAGCAGGGGCTACATAGTGAGATTTTGTCTCAAAAAAATTAAAAACTTGTGGGGGCCTGACCATAGGGACGACACCGTAGTGTCTGGCTTAGGAGACTCCAGATTTCTGGTTATTATTGTACCCTGGGGTGAGATGTTACAAAGAGCCCACAGAGGCAGTAAACGTGAGCTGATATGGATTTGGGTGAGGGCTCAGGAGAGTGGTGTTTTCTTTCCGGAAATCCTAGAATGGTGCTGGTGGTGGTGAGGGAGGCAAGGAGGACTGGCCAGATGAATCCAGGATCTGCTTTCCAGGTTGCACAGGAAATTTGGGTCTGTGAGAAGCAGACAATCACCAAGTGGCCTGGAGACATCCTGGCCTACAAGGAGCACCTCAAGTCCAAGTTGGTAGATGAGGAGCCCCAGCTCACCAAGAGGACCCACAATGTGTGAGCCCTCCTCAGCCAGGCTTGAGTCAGGAATGTCACCTGGAGACTGCCAGCTGCCGCCTGACCAGCTGCTCAGGACAGAACCCTGGGGCTACATCCCCGCATTGCTGCAGTACTGTCCCCAGCCTCTCCTGCCTCAGCCTGCCTTCACTGCATCCACCTCCAGCTGGACAGCACCTGTCCATTTCCCACCCTCCTTCTACTTGGGTCTGTCTATGTCTGGATTTGGCTGGCTGCTTTTTCCAGCCCTTTGGCTGGTTACCTTGTCCTGAGAGATGCAGCCATGGGTATCCGGGTTAACCCAAGGGCCCAAGCCTGGTTTGGACTGTGAAGGATTCAAGAGCCTCCTTTTGTGGGTTTTGGTGATGTTGGAAGACTACCCCAGCCCACCACCCCTGTTCCTTAGTGCTTCTGTTTTGGAGCTCTGGGCTAGGGCCTCAGTCCTGCTCAGTTTTTAAATAATTATTTAACAGTGTAACTTTTAGACCTGTGTGACATCTACAAAGTCCAATAAAGAGGAAGCCACAGTCCTTCCTGGGTCTCTGGGGCCTTCTTTCCCTCTGCAGAGTCCACATTTCCTTCCTCAGGAAGCCTTGGGCCTGTTGAGACTGAAGACGAGGGCTTAGGAGCTACAGGAACCTCTACCTCCTCTGCTTTCCCATTGTGCCTCTTAGGCCTGTTTCATGAGACCTAATGACCAGCCTCAGGCAGCCTCATTAGACCACAGATCAGCGCCTCCTCTACTTTCTAGGCCTGTTGGCCTGGGAGCAAGCCAAGAGTTAGCAAGTTCCCTGGCGGTACAGATACTAAAGCTCAAGTCAGGAAGTGCCTTGAGAGACACTTGGAGATTCTCTGTGACATGCAGCTCCTGCTACCTAGCACACAGGACTCTGTTTCTGAGCTCCAGAGAGAAACAGAAATACCTGGTCTGTACCTGCTGTTGTGGAGTGGGACAGGTAGTTTGTGCACACACTTCTTTATTGGCTCTAGCTTACATGTAGCCTGGGGTTCTGTGCAGATTACCTGGCCCTTTAGAATTTCTAGCCATGGTGTCAGCAGGCTGTGTCCAGCCTTACCTGGGTGTTTGTCACTTCTCCTCTGCAGCCTCAGCAGGGCAGTCTCTGGGAAAGCACACCCACGGTCTTTAAGAGAGGGAAACTCCCAGATGGTGACTAAACCCCCAAGGAGCCACCATCAAGTGGGAAAGCCTGTAGAAGCTGTAAATCAGATACCAAATTGTGGTTTAGATCGGAGGAGTTGCAGGGACTCAAAAGGGAAGGAGGTCTGAGCAGCTGCTGGGAAAGGCAGGCTTGGTCCTGCACCTTAAAAAATGGGAAGTTGGGGCTGGAGAGATGGCTCAGTGGTTAGGAATGCTGGCTGCTTTTGCAAAGGACCCAGGTTCGATTACCAGCACCTACATGGCAGCTAGCAACCATCTGTAACTGATGTACCAGGTGATCCAACACCCTCTTCTGACCTGTATTGGCATTGCATGACTCAGGTGTACTTGCATACATGCAGGCAATACACTCATATACACATTTTTTTTTTTTAATGGGAAGTCTTCTCAGATGGTGGTGAGGTCCCAGAGCTGCCTTAGGCAGAGGGACCAAGCCCATCCAGTGAGAGCTGAGACTGACAGGCTCTGCTGCACCAGGGTCCTAGAGGGGCCTGGCTTGCTTGTGCCGTAGTTGGGCTGGGAGTGAAATAGCTGACATCAGCCTGCCCTGAGTATCCACGGCGTTGGACTGGGGAGTATGGTGTCTACAGTCAGCTGCCACCCTCCTCCCCAGCTTGTCATTAGGACAGGCCGGGCATGGTAGAACATGCCTATAATCCCAGCACTCAGGAGCTGGGCTCATGAGACCCTGTCTCAAACCTTCCAGGTCAGGAAGTCTATTGGGAACCCTGGAGTGCTAAGTCTGGTGCTCAGGATTGGAAAGACTGCAGACCTGGAAGAAGGGAGTGTCATTGTAGCCTAGTCAGCCTGGTTGTCACCCCATGGATCTTGACCAATTATCTAAAATTAGCAATGCCTTGTTTGGGATGCAGAACTGCCCTCAGCCTCTTGAAGCAAACAGCAGCTGCGATGTCGCTGGGTTTGGGGCACAGGATGGGGGCTGCCTGTTGTCGATAGCAGGTGATGCCTGTCTCTGGCTCTCCCCACCTGTTCCTGATTTGTGACATCCTCTTCCCTCAAAACCTCTCCTTTTCATGCTGCTCCAGACTTCTGTGTAGTCACAGTATTCAGGGACCTGAAACTGGTTGACACATCAATGCTGAGACCCTCTCCTTCGCAGCTAAGTTCAGACTCCTGCTCTCACACAGGCCCCCTCATGCCCTTCTCCAGCATGGTGCTTTCCTCCTGGCATCTGGCCCAAGTGAGGAAGCTGCTCCTTTTGTCCTAGCTACACCAAACAAGCCCATTTTGTAAACGGTCCAAGGTGTGGGAGGGGCTGGTGAACTGGAGGATGTGCATGAAGAGCAGCAGTGGTCCAGGGCAAAGTGTGTAGGCAGGCATGGTGGCACACCTTTAATCCCAGTACTTGGGGCAGAAGCAGGCAGATCTGAGTCTGTGGCCAGCCTAGTCTACATAGTGAGTTCCAGGCCAGCCAGAATTAATAGTGAGACCCTGTCACAAAAAAATGAAGTTGGGCTAGAGAGTTGGCTCAGTGGTTAAGAGAACATTCTTACGAAAGACCTGAGTTTGGTTCCTAGCACCCATCAATCAGGTGGCTCTATAATTCCAGCTCCAGGTGGATCAGACACCTCTGGCCTTGGACATCTGCACTTGTGCACATACTCCCACACATACGTTTTTAATTTTTATTTTATGTGTATGTGTATGTTGCCTGCATGTAGGTCGGTGCACCCGTGTCATGTCGTGCAATGCCCGTGGAGGTCAGAAGAGGCTGTCAGATCCCCTGGGACTGGAGTTATGGACAGTTAGCTGCTGTGTGGGTGCTAGAATTCGAACCCGGGTCTTCTGCAAGAACCACCAGTGTTCTTAACCACCGAGCCATCTCTCTAGCTCCACATACATTTTTTTAAAGTTGGTTAAAAAGTCCAGAGCGTAGCCACCTCAAAGAAACCTACTCAGTGTATATCTAGGAGGTGCCGAAGCCGTGAGAGCAAGGATGTTTGTGCAGGGTCTCCTGGCAAAAGTGCCCTAAAGGGCTGGGACTCTGGTACTTGGGGAAGTGGTGTCAGGCACACTGTCCCTCTTTTGAGGAGGCAAGGGTGGGGCCTGGTCTTAGGGTCTTGGTGGCTCAGTGTGTTGAGCACCTGGGATAGGCTTGAAATGTTTAAAGCATATTCCCACCACTTCCTGTGGACTAGAGATGGTTTCAGAATGCTGGATGGAACCCAAGTTGAGGGTGATCTGTGTTCAGCTCAGCATGGGGTAAACAACGTATATGACTGACAAGAGGGGTGGTTAGTGTGACCTGGGTCTATTAAGGCCTGGATGGGTGGTGCTGGTTCTCTGAGGGCCTTAGGGTTTACTTACAGATGAAGACGCTGAGGTCCATGGTCTGCCAGGGGTAACTGAGTCACATGACCTGATAGTGGCTGTGCCCTGGCTCTAGGCAAGCCCTTAAGTAGGATCTTTTCCTCTCCACCCCTGTTACGGGCACTCTTCATTCAAACAGTAGAAGCAGGACCCCTAGAACTTGGTGCCTTGACAAACACCCTAAGGCACCAATGGTGAACCAGTGTATCTGGAGGACTGTAGCAGCTTAGGCTTACTCCCGCCTAAAATTCTTGCCACTCTGGTAGATAGGAGCCAAAGGTGGAGCCTGACCTCCAACCCAAAGCCCACTAGTAGTTTGTGAGTTCACAACCTTAGTGCATGGGATGCTGGGGATGGGAGTGGAGGGTACTACCAGACTGTCCAGAAGGGGAGCAACAGAGGACAGGCCATGCCCTGAAGAGTGCTACTGCAGAGCACTGTGGCTTAGTCCATCTTTAGGGTCAAAGCCTGACAGAAGGTTGGGCCAGGTGTGGCCTCTGAGATAGTGGCTGGTGGTTCTACACTACCACGCTGAGCCTTAGGGCTGCTTCTCTCCAGGCAGCCCTAGGAACAGGCTGTGGTGATGGCAGAGAGATGTGGGCCGAACCACCCTTGATTAGCTGCAGGCTTCTGCTGGCAGAAGTGACCAGGCAGTGGCTGGTGTAGGAAGCCCAGCTCACTCTGGCTCCTCTGTTGGCTTGGCCACTTTTCTTTATACTGACCAGGTACCCCTGCTCACACTGTAGTTGCTCTCAGGTTCCTGCCACCTGTTTCCTAGAGATCACCTTAGTTCAAAGACTTATGTGGCAGAAAAGGAAACAGGCCCAGAGGAAAGTGCCTTATTCAAGGTCAGTGATTCATGGGCAGCTGAGATCATAGATGGCCAACCTGTGGTCCATTGCTGTGGTGATTGTCATACAGATGGGCTGAGAGGGTAACTTGCTGACTGTGTACCAGGGTTACGTGAACACAGGATAGCAGGCAGTCCCTTAGGAACAATTCATTCTACTCCTTCAGGGTTCTAAGATGCTCTTGTAGCACACAGCAGTCTCAGCCAACAGCAGAGCCCCTTAATGAGGCATCCTATGACTCCGCCATATCAGGATTGGCTACACAAATGTCCTGATGAAAAAAAGCAAAACACAAGGCCTGGGGAGTGGGCTCAGTGCTTGCTCACAATCCTGAGGACCTAAGTTCTTGGTGCTGGGAAGATGGCTCAGCAGTTAAGAGCACTTACTGCTCTTGTAGAGGACTGGAGTTCTGCTCCCACCACCCACCGCAGTGGGCGGCTTACAACCACCTGCAACTCTAGCTCCAGGGAATCTGATGTCCTCTTGTGGCCTCCTTGGGCACTGCATATACATACACACATAAACACATGCAGTTTTTTTTTTTTAAAGATTGAGTATGGAGGCTAGAGAGATCACCCAGCAGTGACAAGCACTGACTGCTCTTACAGAGGACCTGGGTTTGATTTCCAGCACCCACATGGCAGCTAATAATTGTCTGTAATTCCAGTTCCAAGGGATCTGATGCCCTCTTCTGACCTCCAAGGGCACTGCACAACACAGGTGCACATATATGCACATATACAGGCAAAGCACTGATAGACATAAAAATAATTAAAAATTTAAAAATTAGAAAAAAGACCAGTATGAATCCCTGGCATCCATGTAAAAAGCCCGTTGCAGCAGTACAAGCCTGTAATCCCAGTGCTGGAGCCTCACTAGGGCTCCATGGCCTGTCAGTGTAGCTAACTTGGAGAAGTCCAAGTTGGATGGGAGACTGTGTCAAAAAAAGGGGGGCCTGGCATGATAGTGCACACCTCCAGTCCCAGCACTTGAGAGGCAGAGGCAGGTGGATCTCTGTGAGTTCAAGGCCAGCCTGGTCTTACATAGTGAGTTCCAGGCCAGCTGGGATTACAGGGAGACCCTGCCTCAAAAAGACAAAAAAAAAAAGGGGGGGGTGCTGCTCCAGGGAAGCCATCATGAATCCTTGGGAGTGCAGCCTTAGGTGGAG